TGGCATTATTGCTGCCCAAGATTTCACCATTAATTGTTTCTATTGTTATGAAGAATTTTCCATAAAGAAATCTACCAGTTTTATAAGGCACATAGAGAAAATGCATCCATTGAAAAAGAATAACAAAAACAATGGTCCTCAAAACTCAAACGACAAGAAGTCAAATTCCTTAGCAATGGGAGAAAAACGTACGCACTTGGATTCTATGGATTCACAAACATCAGTATTACCTTCAAAAATAAGAAAATTATCTTCAGATCAATTGAATAATACAAATATAGAAAAAATCGAGAAATCAATTCCACTGCCACCCTCCCTGGAAATAAAACCCCTACAAGATTTAACAACCCAAATTGCAAATGAATGGTCTTCCACTGAGGAATATGATAATTTGGAGATACTTGAGGACGAACCGGCAGATTGTGATGATAATAAAGATAATAATATTATGGAAATTAAAAAGAGTCCTAGCGCTGTACCTGATTTGCCTACATTAATTGCTAATGAGTGGTCTTCAAATGAAGAGGAGGAAGAGCATCTTGATGCCAATGACACAGAAGATTTCGAAAATGTAAGTCCCGTCATTATCATGTGATTCTTTTTTAGAATTTATCAATTTTAGAAATCCCAAGATGCCATGGAAAATATTGAAATTTTGGAGTCTCCACCTAATTCTTCAGAGATGGAAAAAGAGAAGGATGTTGAGGTAATGTAAAAATTATTTAATTTTTGTGTTGGAAATGTTTTCAAAATCTCTCTCTTTTTTCCCTCTATAGGAGCCACCTGCGGAGACCATTGTTGAGACAACCATAGAACCTGTTATACCGGTATGATTTTTCAAAGATTTGATTCTCATTTTTATAGCCTGCAAAACAGTTTTTTTGGTAGTTGACCGTCGGCCCAACCATATTTTTTTAATAAACAAAATTATAGGGCGCATTTATTATCCAATGGGGATGAAATTTGGTACGGCTTCTTTAATTGGTCCAAGGACATACCCTATGAAAATTGGCGAGAATCGTTTCCGATTTTGATATAGCTCCCATGCATACTTTCGTCCAATTTCAGGAAAATGGTTCGTCCAAGACTTAAAATTTGTGCGATTGACACGAAATTCGGCATAGCATACTGAATTAAGGCTAAAATGACGTGTATTAAGTTTGGTGGCAATCGCTTCAAATTTAGGTATAGCTACCATATATATTTCCGTCGGATTTAAGGAAAATAGAGCACCAAAAGCCCTCAGTTGTTGAGATTGGCACGAAATTTGGCATAGCTTACTAAATCAAGTCTAGAATGACGTGCATTAAGTTTGGTGGAAATCGCTTCAGATTTAGGTATAGCTCCCATATATATTTCTGTCCGAATTCAGGAAAATTGTGTACGATTAACACAAAATGTTGCATGCTATGCTGTACTAAAGCTAGAATGACGTGTATTAAGTTTTGTTATAATCGCTTCAGATTTAGGTATAGATCTCATATAAATTTTATTCGATTTCAGGAAAATGGTTCGCCAGTTTGTTCCATTGGCACGAAATTTGGCATAGCGTACTGAGTTGAGTTAAGAAAAGCTTGTGCCAAGTTTGCTTTAAATCGGTTCAGATTTCGATATAGCTCCCATATATATTATTTCTTCCGATTTCATACAAACGGAGGGTCAAAGGCTCCTTCGTTTTTGTCCAACAGCCACGAAATTGTACATAGAGCACTGAATTGAGGCTAGAAAGGGGTTTGGGAAGTATGATTGAAAGCGGCTCAAATATAGGGTATATGGTATTATATACTCGGCCTCGTCCGATTTTGGCACTTTCCCTACTGCTTCTATAGTAATTTAAAATCTTATTTTTTTATTTTTAGAAACCCATACCCTCTGCAACAGCGAAATGTAAAAAACCACCTTACATCACACCCTTTCCGGCACGCTATATTGATTCTGAAGATGATATGCCCTCAAATGATGAAAATGAAGACGAGCAACCATGTTCCACAAATGGCTGTGGGGTAAGTCCTAACCTGAAAATAAATTTCCCATAAGGACCTCTATAATAATTCCTGTTTCTTCCTCTTTTCAGATTCTATTTGGTCTAACAAATCGTCAAATCGTTTTCGAATTTTTCCACCAGCTAGAAAAATATCCCGAATTATATGATTTTCGAGAGACGAAAACCAAAGCGGTAATGGAAAAAATACGCAACAGCATTGTGGAGCTGCGTAAACACATAAATGAAAAATTCAATATTCACATGACAGATGTAGAGGTACGCCTTAGTTTGCAACGTATTTACATGTGGTTTAGTCGTACCCAACGTGAAATGTCGAAATGTGAAGATTTGGGTACAAAATTCCAACACACTTTTCCAGAGTATTATGCAATTTTGGAAAAGTTTCTGAGGAATAGTCTACCAAAACGCACCAAGGGTATAATGTGGATAAATAATATGGGGAAAAAAGATTACAATGATTTGTGGCGTTATCCCAAATGGATGCTGGTCAATGAAAGTCGAAAGAATGGCAAAAGAAATGTGGTTGTGAATAATGCGGATTATTCCCTGTGTTCTGGTGGGGATATCGAATTAGAATTTGGTGAGGAGGATACCCAAACCGAATCAGATGTTAATTCACAAAACGGAGATCCACAATCACCGCCCGAACCCTTAATCTGTGATATTTGTTATGAAGATTTTCCGAGGCGTATCGATTGGAGGCGGCATCGTGTTAAACACTTTCCGCCCCAATATCCATGTTTGATATGCCATCGTATGCATTATACCCGTCTCATGGCGAAGAAATGTCAACATTACTACAACAATAAGGTGAGAAGAGAAAAACGAATTTTTAAACGAAATCATCAGCGATCGTTTATTTGCGAATTATGTGGGGCGATTTACAAGACAATTAGCAATCTCAATACCCACATCAAGGAGAAACATTTCAATGAACGTCATCAATGTATTGTGTGTAAATATTCCACCCTGAATCGGGATAATTTACGTCGTCATCAGATCCGGACACATGTTGTGGAATATGGGACCTGTGATGAAATTGGTATACGTACCAAACCTCACCACACCACTCGAATGCCATTTGATTCCGAGGCTCGCCAAGAATATGAATGGCTAAAGGAGATGAGGAAGACCAATAAGACGGGACGATTCTTTTTTGGTTGTTTCAAATGTAAGCTGGTCTTTGAGACACGCCAACAAAAACAACAACACAACAAGCAGGAACATCCGATAACGGAGAAAACTCTCCTTTGCTTTCTATGTCATCATGATTATGCTTTGTTTTGTAATGTCAGTAGTTTACGGCGGCATTATGTTGGGCGCCACAATGTACCATGGGATCAAATAGATCGTTATGTCAAGAGTACAAAGACCCTAATTGAATTACTAACACCCGAAGAATTCCAAATGGTACAAACTGCCAATAATAAGCGGATGGTAATTTCACAAATTTTATCCTCTAAAACGAAAATTAAAAAGGAGAAGCAGGTTGCCAAACCTTTCGGCCAAAATGTTATGTCAGATGATGACGAGGACGACGACGAAGATGATGATATGATGTATTATCCCATTGTACCCTATGATGATGATTCCAATGATGATGATGACATAAATCAATCGACTTTGTATAAAGATTTTGAAATTGATTTTGAGGAACAGGAAAAGGAGCAAATGAATGGAATGGGTAATGAATTGGATCAGGAAATGGATAATGATTATTTAAATATAAATTTGGAACAAGCCATTGATGTCCATCAAATATTCGAAGAAGTCGATGAACTTATTGAGGAGGAGCAACAGATTATGGAAGATATTGTGATAGAAGATAATGCGGAAAATGATATGGTGGTGCTCGATAATTTAGAGGAAGGCTATTAAGAAGACTGATGTGTGCGGCATTTTCGTATGTGTATATATATGTAGATAGTTGAGAACATTTGAAAGCATTTGGAGCATTTAAATTAAATGTAAACAGATTATAATTAGTTTATTTAATTTTTTCGAATGCAGTATTTAAATATTTAGGTTGTATTTAATAATAATTCTAAATAAAATTAGAAAAGTCTGGAAATTTCTTATACGCGATACAGAACCACAATGAGGTTGCAGATTGTGGGAATTCCAAAAAATTGGTGGCTGCAACTGAAATAAGCAAGCCATGGGATATGAATTCTGATAGAGGAACATCAATCTGCTGCAAAGAAGCCATATTTTTATTGCAGACAGTCCAATTTTCTGTCTCACACTACCGACGAGTAGGAATCCATCCTCGTTACAACGACTAGCGTCATCCACAAACAAAAGCCCAATTGGCAGAAAATGTCTCTCTAAATTCAACCAGAGGATACCGATTGTTGATCCCCTCTGCAGCTCGATTAACATAGCTGAAGAAAGAACCAAATTCCACTGACACCCGATTAACCTGAGAAATTTTCGATCCGATGTGCAGGGTATTGGACAGCCAAACACCCTGCACATAGTTTGCCAAGACTTCAGCATTGTCTTAGAATTGTTTTAATTTAAATTTATTTACAAATAATTATTTAAATATTACGCATATGTTTAACGTTGCTCTACTGCCATTCACTGAAAAATAACAACACACCTTCTAAGCTAGTATGTGTTGCCACATCCTATAACCCACACGATATGTCGTCAATCGATCTAACTCTCCCTACATTGCTATCACCCAGTCTTATCGATAGTCGACCTAGCAAACCCTAATTGATTAGTCGTTGCAAACAAACGGATCCCAGTAAACAACACGAAAATCATACAAAGAATTTTATACGTTCAGTAATTCCGGCGAATAATAGTTTAAAAAACTAACAAAATTTATGTTAAATTAAATTATATAACAATAAATGTATATGTCGCGTAGATAGTAGAAAATAAACTCAACAAAGTAATTGTGAAATACAAAAGAGAGGGGGTACATTAAAACCCCAAAAAAGACGGTGAAACAAACACCACACACACAGTCACACACACAAAGATGGATGATAAAAAAAGTATACAGGATTACAAGGACTATTATTCAGCTGTCTGTCGAACATGTTTGCAATCGAGTGGAGAAATGCAAAATTTAAATGCGCCCGTAAGTGGTGGCGGTGGTGCTGCTGCTGCTTCGGCTGACAGGAGTACATTTATGGACTGTCTCAACTATTGTATGCCCAGTTATAATGGGCAAGCCGTAGTGGCAGCCGATGAATTGGATGCCCTACCCACACGTATATGCAAAGATTGTGCATCCGCATTGCAGGTGGCCTATTGGTTTATGAAGAATGCCATCAAGGCCCAGGAAGTGCTGAAGATACGTATCAATGAAATGAAAGAAAAACAAAAAGAACTTGAACGTGAAGAGGTAAGGAAAGAGACGACGGCGGCGGTAGGGGCGATTGTTGTGTGCAAATGTCCTAATTAATGCGTAATGTTATTTTTGTCTCTGCTGATGTGTTGTTGTTGTGCTTTCTTTTTAGGCGGCCCAAGCAAAGGCCCTCTGTGAGGAAGTAAAGAAGCCAAAACGTTATCGTTGTAAAATTTGCAATACAAAATTGGAAACAAAAAGGTCTTTGAAAGATCACGTTAAGCTACATTTGGGTAAGTTGGAATCCTTATGAGAAATGCTAGTAGTATTTAGAAATGTGTGTTCGTGAGTGTGTGAGTCATCATTGAAAGAAAAAACCTTTGTTTTACTTGGAAACCTGTGAACACTTGAGCATGTGTGGTGATTGCATTTGATTTGCAAAGTGATAGTGTTAATGACAGAAGGAGTAAGGGGGAGGGTGACAGCAAAAAACATCTGTTGGAAGTATGTGGATTTGCAAATTGAAATTGAAATTCCAAAATTAAAGCAAAAAAGGTTTGAAAATAGTGTGCCGATCTCTTTTGTTATCCAATTGTGTAGAAATTTGGCACAGCTCATTTAATTGGTTCAATGGTATTGGTGAGAATCGCTTCAAATTTAGATATAGCTTCCGAATAAAATTTCATACAATTTTAGATAAATGGCGCCCAAAAGTCAATAAATATATCTGTCCGATTGAGATTAAATTTTGCATAGCGTACTAAATAAAGTATAGAATGACGTGTGCCAAGTTTGCTTTGAATCGTTTCGAATTTAGATATAGCTCCCATACAATTTTCCGTCCGATTGGCACAAAAATGTTCATAGATTCACAAATCAAGTTTATAATGACGTTTGACAAGCTGTGTAGGGTATCACAAAGTCTTTTTAAATTTAAACATTAAAAAAAAAAAAATTTTAAAATTTCCCTCCTTTACAAACAAGTTTTAATTTACAATATATTATTTTATTAGTTAATATCCTGCATTTTCTAATTTTTTTACATACAAATTATATTTAATAAAATTCTCCCCACTCTATTTCTTTACAGATATAATTGCCTATAATTGTCAATTATGCGGATTTGAACATCATCAGCGTACGCAACTAATTCAACATTATCAACTTACACATGGTGTTGAACCGACACCAGAACAATTGAAACCGAAAACAAAAATTACACCTCCCAATAATAGCTCCAACACCACCAGCAGCAGTAGTATCAGCAGTACAGTGACAAGACACAGCGCTAGTGATAATAGACAACAATTTTCACAACAAACACTCACCAACGCAGGTGAAGTTTTTGTTGAAAATCTACCCGCAGCGGCAGCACAAAATACCCATGAAATTATTTACACAAGTGCCCCACAAAATCAAAATATCGTTTATGCTACCGCCATTAACACACAAACAACTCCCCTGGAGGGAAATCCGGCTGCAACAACAATTTTTGCCCAACCAAATGGTGAGGCATTTACATTTAATTCAAACTTTGATGGTAATCTCAATGTACAAAATAATGATGCGAATGTTGTTGGTAATGAATATATTGTTATGGCCGATGGCTCTGTGGAAAATGTTATGGGCAAGGGTATGTAATTGAAATATAATATTTTTATTTTAATAATTTAACATATTTTTCTACTCTTTAGGTGTTGTCATTGAGTACATTAATGCCGGGGATGGCACCACATTATCCCTGGACAATGGTTTGATGTTGGAAAACTTGCTACAAGTTCAAAATGATGGCACAACTCCGAATATAATTGTATCACAAAATAATGATAATGCCTCCAATAATTTGTCGCTGGCACAAACGGATGCTGCAACAACAAATATGGTTATTTCCCAGAATGATATGGTGCAAATGGATGTGGACGATTTGATTGTAGAGGATCCAGAAAATACACCGGAACAAACACAAGGTATGGGGGTAATGTAGAAACAATTTGGAAGAGAGGTTTTTGAAAGAGAAAAGCATTAGATTTTTAAAAGATTTTTTTCAAGAATAATAGATTTTTTTTCAAGCCCTAACAAGGTGTATATTTTTAAAATAATTTTTTCAAGCCCCCAACAAGGCGATTTTTTTTTTTCAAAGCTGAGTTTTTAAGTAATTTTTGTTCAAGCCCCAACAAGGCGAAACTTTTCCAAGTTGTAAAAAAAATCAAACATTTTTCAAGGTCTTAATTTTTTAAAAATATTTTTTTAGGCGTAGATTTAAAAAAAAAAAACATTTTTGTTCAAAGCTTATGTTTTCAAAAATAATTTTTTTTATATTTTTTTTTCAAGGCGTATATATTTTAAAAATGTTTTTCAAAACGTATATGTTTTAAAAATATTTTTTCAAGGCGTTAATTTTTCAACATTATGTTTTAAGGCGTAGATTTTTCAAAATTATTTATTAAGGCGTAGATTTTTTAAAATTATTTTTTCAAATCCTAGATTTTCTAAAAACACTTTTTTCAAGGCCTAGATTTTTTTAAATATTTTTTTCAAGGCGTAGATTTTTAAAAAATATTTTGTTCAAGGCGTAAGTTTTTAAAAAATATTTTGTTCAAGGCGTAGATTTTTTTAAATAAATTTTTTCAAAGCCTAGATTTAAAAAAAAATTCAAAGCCTAGATTTTTTTTAATATTTTTATCAAGGCCTAGATTTTTTTATATTATTCTTTTCAAAAGCTAGATTTTTTTTAAATATATTTTTTTTAATTCCAATCTTTTCAATTTCCCGCCTATTGGTAGATATTTTAAAAATATATCCTTTATCCCCTTTAAAATATAATAAATCATTTGTTTCCTTCCCTTTTCCAGATGTACCCATCTCCCCCATTGATGAAGATATGATTCCCGCCACATTCATTGAACAACCCAAACGAAATATTTGTAAAATATGTGCCAAAGAATTCGATACACAAGATGCATTGAAAAACCACATGTTGACACACAATGGTAAGTTTAACAAAAACTTTAAATTTCAAAAAATATAAAAAATAACCCCTTCTCTCCTTTTCTTCCGTTTCAGAAATTCCCCACTTTTTCTGCGATCATTGCTCCTTCTATACCTTCTTTAAAATCGATTTGAATCAACACTATAAAAGCAAACATAATATACAACCGACAAATAAACAACTACAACCTAAAAATAAACCCACACCGACGACGACGGCAACAACAACTACAACAGCGGCACGTTGTGCCGACACCGAAATGGATCCACAAACAAAAAATGCTATTGTTGAAAAAATTGAACGCTTTGCAAGATCTCCCAAATTGGTCTACGGTTGTGACATATGTTTTTATGAATGTGATTTAAAATATGAAATAAAACGCCATTATCAGGCCAAGCATCGTATGAATGTACAGGATATACAACAGAGGCCAACACGTACCGGATTGACCAACAATACCATAGTGCAACCAATTTCCCATACAAAAGTGTCTTCTACGGTGTCGGTGGCGGCGTCTGCGGCGCCATCCTCATCTTCGTCGTCATCTGTAACATCAACTGCCTCCAGTATGACTGGTTCACCTGCTAAAACATCCAAAATGAATCTGAATAATAGTCTAAATAATAATACAACCGAAGAAGATGCCATGCTGCCGGATTATTTGAATGGTCTAAATTGTCGTAAATGTAATGAAGTGTTTTTCTATCGCAATAAATTATATGAACACTATAAACTGCACAGTGCCCAGGAGGAGGCGGCCAAGCAGCAGAAGCAAACCACGAAAATGCAAAAAACCGTTAATAACATACAACAACAACAGCAGCAGCAACAGGAGTTGTCACAACAGCTGCAGGAGCAAACTGTGGCGGCAACAGCTACAAATCATTTACATTTAACACAAAACGAAACTCATTTAGCAATGCCACAGCAACAACAAAATCTCACACAAGAACCCCAAATACAATTACAATATCAAGAACCAGTTAATCAACCCCAACAACCACACCTTCAAGTATTACAACAATTGCCGCAACAAGAAGTTGTCATAACCACCACTCCATTAGATAATAGCTTAACATCGTCCTTTAATAATGTTGTCGATCCCATGACATTGGTCCTAACACCAAATACAACATTAAATAATTCAGTTGCCCCCTTAACACCTTCATCAAGTTCAACATATACCCTACCCTCCGATGCCATACCACAAATTGTTGAAATGGAACAGACCATAGAAACCGATATGGATTTTGATTTTAATGGTGATGCCTTGTTTGAGGATTTCGATGATGTTGAAAACTCATCCGATGATAATGATATGCGTAATTTAGCTCTGACGTCCGATGATGATTTTGATGATGTTCTCAAGGAGCAGAGTGAAAGTCAAACAGAAACGGCAACATCATATTGTGCCCAGTGTCAAAAATCATTTCTTAGTCAATATCAATTTGAGAATCATATGTTTTTGCATAGAGGTGAGAAATGTGAATTTTCTTGAAATCGAATTTTGTGGAAAATAATGGACTTTTTTGTTTGTTTTTAATTTAGGTCTGGCTCCATATCGCTGTGAAATGTGTACTAATCTTTATAATACCAAGCGTGCTCTCATACGTCATTATCGTGCTGTCCACAAAAGAATACCCACTAGGGATATGATCCAGGCCAAGGGTGACAAAGGTAGATTTAAGATTTTCTTGTTTTTTTTTTCATTTTTGTATTTAACATTTTATATTTACAGTCTATGTTTGTGATAACACAACAATGGATTATTTAAGTATAGAAAAATCCACCGGTATGTATGCATATATTTTTTATTAAATAATAACTTCTAAATATATTTTTAATTCAATTTTATTTTGTTCCACAGTAACAACCTTTATGTGTGCTAAATGTACCTATGAATCGACAGACTTTCCCAGTGTACAATTACATTTGAATACAAATCACAGCATTCATGATGGTATGTTTTCAAAATACTCAAATATTAAAATATTTTATTTTTACTAATAAAATTCTTTTTTACTTTACAGATTCTTATATATTAAGAAGTAAGTATATATTCTTCGTGTCCTCTATGTTATTGGCCAATGATTTCATTCTCCCATTTGTTTGCTTGTTCTTTTTGTCTTTCCCATGTGTTTTTTCTCTCTCTCTCTAGAACTTCCCTATGAATGTCCCCGCTGCATACGTTCATTTTCAACCAAAGCAAAATTGTTACGCCATATGGAACGTAATCATTCAACGACACCAATTAATAATCCACAAATTCAAATTAATTCCACAGAAACGGCAACAACCACAACAACTACAACAACTGCGCCAGCATTAAATAATAATCATAATCATAATGAGAATAATAATACTGCTGTTGATCCCACAACAGCAACAGCAGCAACATCAACCATGCAACAAGTGATTAATAATAATAATAACAATAACAGTGCAACAAGCGGTAAGGTATATGAAGAACAGGTCAATAATATTAATCACAACAACAATAATAATAATGTTAACAATGGCTTAATCTCCGATATGCCAACAATTGTAAATAATGATGGCAAAACATAAATACTCTCCCGTAATAACTAATTACACAATTCCAGATTGTTCTATAGAACGGAAAAGAGAAACAAAAATCATTGCAAAAACAAGAAAAAATGCTATGAAAAAGGAAATTTATAAAAAAAATACAAGATTTCTTTAAAACAAAAAAACATTTTCTTTTTATTTTATTTTCTATTTGGTTTTTTATTTTCATTTGGAACAGGTAATGAGGTTTTCGTTTTATTTGGTTTTATTTAATTTTTTATTTTGTTTTTCTGATGGCACTGAATTAAGTCTAGAAGTTTTCTGAAAATCGGTACCAAAGTCCCTATGCATATTTTGATTTCCACGAAATTTTGCATAGATTAGTGAATTAGGTCTGAAAATCGGTTCAGATTTAGATATAGCTCCCATATATATATTTTCCTCCGATTTTATGTAAATGGTGTACCAAAGTCCCTTAATATCTTTCGATTTGCACGAAAATTGGCACAATGAACTGAATTGAGACTAGAATGATGTGTGTTAAGATTCATGACATTCGGTTCAGATTTATATGTAGCTCCCATATATTTTTTCGCCGGATTTAATGTAAATGGTGTACCAAAGTCCCATATATCTTTCGATTTGCACGAAATTTGACACAACGAATTGAATTGAGACTAGAATGATGTGTGTTAAGTTTCGTGAAATTCGGTTCAGATTTAGATGTAGCTCCCATATATATTTTCGTCCGATTTTTGGTAAATGGTGTACCAAAGTCCCTATACATTTTTCGATTTGCTCGAAATTTGGCACAGCGTACTGAATTAAGTCTAGAATGGTGTGTGTTAAGTTTCGTCAAAATCGGTTCAGATTTAGATATAGCTCCCATATATATATTTTCTTCCGATTTAATGTAAATGGTGTACCAACGTCCCTACATATCTTTCGATTTGCTCGAAATTTGGTATAGCGTAATGAATTAGGTCTACAATAATGTGTGTTAAGTTTTCTGAAAATCGGTTCAGATTTAGTTATAGCTCCTATATATTTGTTCATCCGATTTTATGTAAATGGTGCACTAAAGACCCAAAATTTATCCGATTGCAACAGATTTTTGTACAATGAATTGTAGTTAATATAATTTAATCTCTGACAAGTCTCATTGAAATCGATTCAGATTTGGATAGACCTATATATATTTTTTCTCCCGATTTTAAGTACATGCTTCAAAAATTCGACGTCTGTTAGGATTCATCTGTTGAAAACACCCAAAGTGCTGAAGGGTATCATAAAGTCGGCACCGTCCGACTTTACTACTTTTCTTACTTGTTTAAAATATTTTTTCCAATCTTTACAAAGGCGTAAATTTAAAAAAAATATTTTTTTTTTGATATCCAAAGGTGTAGATTTTTTTAATATTTTTTCAAATTTTAAAAAGGTCTGGGATTTTATAAAAATATTTTTAAATTTATTTATTTTTTATTTCTTTTTCGTTAATTTTAATTTTTTTTTGCGATTTTTCTTTGAAAATTTCTATAATTTTTTAATTAAAAAAAATTTTGTTTGAATATTTCAAAAAAATATTTTTGTTTGAAAATTAAATTTTTGAAAATTTTTTAAAACTTGTTTATGTATATTTGGTATAGGCTGTATTCAATTTTTTACAAGAAAATCTGCCTAATTTTATACGGATTTCAAAAAAATTTCAAATGTTCTCAAAATTGTTCCAATATCCTAGAAAAAAATAAATTCTTAATTTCATATGAGAATTTTATTCTCTTTCTTAAAATACACATGCTGCCATTTATTGAAAAAAAAACAATATTTGAAAAAATCCACAAAAAAGGACTTGTCGATGATTGCAACTCCGAACCACAACTCTTCGACATTGGATCAGCAGGACAAATTAACGATGATGATGACGGCGACGAAACAAAAATCAATGACAGATTATCTTTTGAACAATGTGGCGTAACCCCAACATCATCATCGTCATCCTCCTCATCGGCCACTTCGTTTGTTATGTTATGTCCAGATTTGCAAAGTGATCTGACAATTGACACAGTGCCGCCACCCACCGCAACTAGCGTTGCAGATGATGACACAAATATAACTCCAACCAAAGATATTGAAATATTTAATAATAACGATATTTTAGCAGTGAGCACAGAACTACCATCGGACTCTATGCCGGATATAAGTTTAGAACCAGAAGTCAGCACAAATGAGCTTGACAACACAAACAACAACAATAATGACACACCTTTAATGGAAACAGCAAAAGCCCCAAATGAAAATGAATCGGAAACTGCGACTAAGGTTCTCTACAAATGCTTGGCTTGCTTGGAAAATTGCACCACAATTGAGGCTGTTCGCCTACACAGCCGCAAGGTAACCTGCCGTGAACAAATTAAAGCAATGCATAAAGGCGAAACATCGTCATCGGGTCTTTATAAATGTGAAGTATGCGGTGATATAAAATATCCCACCTTATATTTGTTACGGCATCATTTGAAAAAACACATCGCTCGGACATTTCGTTGCACCTGTTGTCCGAAATCGTATTTGAGTAAATTTGAATTGGATACGCATCAGAGGTCGCACACCGATGAACGGCCACATCAATGTGATAAATGTCCAAATAGTTTCCGGTATGCCCACCATTTGAAGCGGCATAAGGATATTATACATTTTGGTAAGCGATATATGTGTCCGGAGGCCAATTGTAATCGGCAGTTTACCACAATGGATCAGCTGAAAATACATAAATGGTCTCACTGTGGCATTGTGCCGCATAAATGTAAGCACTGTGGGCAGTTGTTTAAGAAGCGGTTGTTGTAAGTATTTCACACTCGATTGCCTGGGTGTTTAATTTTTATAATATTCTAATTTCTAAATAGTTTACGCAATCACTGCTCGAAGTTCCATAACAAACCCCTGACTGATGATGAAGAATTCAGTGGCAGCAATTTGACTTGCAAAAGTCCCCAGGAAGATATACTGCAACCGATTAACTGGGATTAAAACGGGGATGGTGTTATCCTACTCTGATGAATAAGGACTATTCATAAGGGCAACAAGATAGACTAATCAAAAAGCAACCAGAACACCAGGAAGTTACATACATTATAACCTATTAACTGAGACCAAGCGTAAACTTCCATTTCCTTTAACCACTGGAATTCAGAAATAGAACCCATAAATAACCCTTCCCCTCATTTTACTAATTATGATAACTGATCTTCACCGAGATTTTGGGCATCATCGTAGAAGCCTTTACTACCACTAAATAAAAATACATTTCCATGTAAAATACCAACGCAATTTCAATATCATTCCATTTTAAATTTGTTTTTAATTTTAAGAGAATAAATTTCTATTTTTATTTAGAAAATCATAAATACACCTAATATTTATATGAATATATATTTAAAAATAAATTAATAAAACAAAAGAAATCTTGTAAAAAAACCCATTGTATAAAAAGATATGTTTTCCTTAGCCCTATAACTAGGCACCTAATAGTAATCTTTAAATGTGGGGTACAGGGTATTATGTCCTTGTGCATATGTTTGTAACAGACAAAATAAAACGAGATAGACACATGGTTCCTTTTGATAATATGCATAGAATCACTTTCTGAGTCGATTTATGCATATCCGTCTGTACGTCCGTCCATGTATTTTTGTGAACAAAGTACAGATTGCATTTATGATCCGATTTGAATGAAATTTGGCACAGCGGAATGAATTAGGTCTAGAATGATGTGTGTTAAGTTTTCTGAAAATCAGTCCAGATTTAGATATAGCTCCCATATATATTTTCCTCCGATTTAATGTAAATGGTGCACCAAAGTTCCTATATATTATTCGATTTGCACGAAACTTGGTATAGCCTACTGAATTGAGTCTAGAACGATGTGTGTTAAATTTCGTGAATATCGGTTCAGATTTTGATATAGCTCCCATATATATTTTCGACCGATTTAAGGTAAATGGGGCACCAAAGGCGCTATATATCATTCGATTTTCACCAAATTTGGCATAGCGCAATAAATTAAGTCTAGAGTGATGTGTGTTAAGTTAAAATCGGTTCAGATTTAGATATAGAAAATCTTTCGATTTGCACGAAATTTGGCACAGCGTAATAAATTATATATCGGGAATTCAGATTTATATATAGCTCCCATATATATTTGTCTCCGATTTTATGTAAATGGTGCACTAAAGTCCCTATATATCTTTCGATTTGCATGAAATTTTGCACAGCGTAATGAATAAGGTCTAGAATGATTTGTGTTGAATTTCCTGAAAATCGGTTAAGATTTAGATATAGCTCCCATATATATCTTCGACCGATTTAAGGTAAATGATGTACCAAAGTCTCTATATATCCTTCTATTTGCACGAATTTTGACATAGCGTAATGAATTAGGTCTAGAATGATGTGTGTTAAGTTTCGTGAAAATCGATTCAGATTTAGATATAGCTCCCATATATATTTTCTTCCGATTTAATGTAAATGGCGCACCAAAGTCCCTATATATCTTGCGATTTGCAAGAAATTTGGCACAGCGTAATGAATAAGGTCTAGAATGATTTGTGTTGAATTTCCTGAAAATCGGTCCAGATATATATATATATATATATATTCTTTAAATCGATTTCCCATTTTATCCCATTGTAAGAAACAACCCTATATCTGACCAAATGAAAAATTTAGTATAGATTGCAGAATGACATGTTTATGGATCCATTTTCGTGTAAATGGTCCTTCAACGTCTGTTAGGATTCATCTGTTGAATATACCCAAAGTGGTGAATGGTATCACATAGTCGGCCCCGTCCGACTTTACTACTTTCCTTACTGATTTTTATATATTTTGTTCAAAATAATTTTTAAAGCTTACATTTTTTAAACAATATTTTTTTAAGTCTTGGACACTCTAAAATATTTTTTTCAAGGCTTAACTTTATTTAAAAAAAATCAAGGCTTAGAATTTTTTAAAACATAACAAGGCGTAAACGTTTAGTGATTAAAGCAAGTACTCTTGTCTTAATACAATCGCCTAAAAGTATGCTTTATTTTTTGTCATTGTGTTTCTATGACTTTTTTTGATGTTTTCTTTTAAAGAACAGTTAGAAATGAAGGGATCTTATTAAACACATGTCATTTAGAAGGCAATAGCTTTGATCTTTGGTAGCTACACCGCCAATAAAAAAATCATAATAAATTAATAAAAATAACAAAAATAAAAAAATAGTAATTTAAAAAATGTTTCCGAATTGCTGCCGTTGTTGCCTGGCCACTGATCGCCAATTGATCTCACTTTTCACCGAGTCGCCGCATAAGGATAATAAAACTCTGAATTATTATTACAATACTCTGTTCCATTACGTTGCAGGTGGTGCAGCGGGTGCTGGAGGCGGTGATGGTCAAAAGAAATGTGTGAATTATTCCAAAGAGATTTGTTTGCGCTGCAGTAAAGCCTTGCAGATTAGCTATCATTTTATGTTAATGTCCATGGAAAGGCAAAGAGAATATGAAGAGAAATTTATTGCGGAAAAGACAATAATGGGGAATTCGAGTATGGTATATGGTCTTCCTATGGCAAGTAGTGGAAGTGTAAAGCAGGAATTTGATGAACGTCGGGACATTAATAATAATCAAGTGAAAATGCATGATATTGATGGTGATGGAAAAATTAAAATTGAATTAAAATGGAATTGTGAAATGGGCTGGAAAACGAATGTGGAGAAAATCAAAGATAACGAGATGGGCGAGAGAGATAATATGGAAGTGGGTAAGTAAAGAAGACATATTCAGGACTTTTTTTAATTTGAAAATCATTTTAATTCTTTTTTTTGTGATATTTTTTTTTTATATTTTTAATTCATTTATTTTCAGACCCTATTTTTAAAACGGAGCAGTGTCATCAAATAATACCAAAATTGAAGCCATTTAAGTGTCGTTATTGTGAGGATGCCTTTGAGTACCATGAATTGCTGATAAAACACACCCAGCATGTGCATCAACGTAGAGTACTGAAATTTTGAAAAAATGAAAACCAAATTTCAAAATTTTTATTTTTTTTTTTCAGAATTAATACCCTTCAAGTGTAAAATGTGTAATTTCTATACCTGTTTCATTGAAAGTCTGTGTAAACATTACAAAAGGATACACAAACAAGAGGATTTGGAAAATCGTCTATATCGAACCAAGGAGTGTGAGTTGGGATTTGGGTATTGCAAATTATTTTTTTATGAATTTTTCTTTTTCTTTGATAGTACTGGCCATATCGGCCGAGGTGGAAATACTGGATGGTAATATTATGGTAAACACTAGCGGATATGTATGAAATTTGATGGTCGCACGGATACAGGTTCTTAAAAGGGAATTTGAGGTTATGGAGAGAAATGAGCCCAACATACAAAGTACAGGTCGCATTTAATATCCGAATGAGATGAAATTTGGCACAGATCATTTAGAGAGACGATTCGATTTGCGCGAAATTTGGCATAGCGTATTGAATTGAGTCTTGAATGATGTGTGTTAAGGAAAAATCGATGCAGATTTAGATATAGCTCTCATATATATTTTTGTCCGATTTAATATAAATGTTGCACCAATGTCCATATATATCTTTCGATTTGCACCCAATATGGCATAGCGTATTGAATTGAGTCTAGAGTGATGTTTGCTAAGTTTTATGAAAATCGGTTCAGATTTACTTATAGCTCCCATATATAGTGTCGTCCGATTTTAGGTAAATGGTGTACCAAACTCCTAATATTTGTCCGATTGCTACCAAATTTTGCACAGCGTACTGAATTGAGTCCAGAATGATGTGTAATAAGTTTCGTGAAAATCGGTTCAGATTTATATATAGCTCCCATATATATTTTTGTCCGATTTAATGTAAATGGTGTACCACAGTCCCTATATATCTTTAAATTTGCACGAAATTTGTCATAACGCCCTGAATTGAGTCTAGAATGATGTGTGATAAGTTTCGAGAAAATCGGTTCGGTTAATCGGTTCGGTTTTCGATTTTAGGTAAATGGTGCACCAAACTCCCAAGGTTTGTCCGATTCAGACAAAATTTTGCACAGCGTACTGAAGTAAGTCCTGTTTTATATCTGTGAATTTTTGTTGAAATAGGCTTAGATTTAGATATAGTTCCCATATATTTTTTCGTCCGATTTTAAGTAAATGGTGCATTAAACACTCAATATTTGTCCGATTGAGACCAAATTTTGCACAGCGTACTGAATTAAGTCCAGTTTCATGTTTGTGAAGTTTGGTTGAAATCGGTTCAGATTTAGATATAGCTCCCATATATAGTTTCGTCCGATTTTTTGATAAATGGTCCACCAAAGACCCAAAGTTAGGCCGATTGAAACAACATTTGGCACAGCGTATTGAATTAGGTCCAGATTGATGTTTGCGAAGTTTTGTTGAAATCGATTCAGATTTATACATAGCTCCCATATATATTTGTCCGATTGAGACAAAATTTTGCATAGCGTACTGAATTAGATCCAGTTTGATGTCTTTGAAGTTTTGTTGAAATCGGTTCAGATTTATATATAACTCCAAAATATATTTTCCCCCTTTAGAGATAACTCTGAAATGCATCGAATGTGATTTTCAAACCCATACCCAAATTGAGATGAATCAGCATCTTAATATGGAACACGATGCACCTGAAGAAGATAAAAGTAAATAAATTAAAAAAATATTTTATTTACTTATTAAATACAAAATTTAATTACCTTACGTATTTTCAGAATTGTTTGTAACCCTCTTCAATTGTCCATCCTGCTATCGGCAGTTCATGGAAAAGACCTCACTGAAAATACATTTCTCCTTGGCGCACAACAATCAGGAGACGGTGCCCTGTATGCCCAATGATCATTGTTGTGAAAATTGTGGTAAAGTAATATTGAAAAATTATGTTTCAAAAATTTAATTTTCAAATATCTATCCTCACTCCTTTTAAGGAAAAATGTTCCACCGTAGATC